AACAGGTGGAATTTACGCAGCTCATTTACACACTTTTCCTGAAGATAGAAGAGTTTGTTGAATCTGACGTGACATGTTCGTATGAACCCTTCATACGAACAAAAGTAAGAGAAATTTAGGATAAGAATACGAACATGTTCTTGCATGAGGCCCATTGTTACAGGATAAAAATAAACATCAAGTACAAACTAAAGGAGCAAAAATTTAAGCATATGATCTGCCATATTGTTATTATTATGTTTGACAAAATTACAATTGGAGCTAAGACATCACCATTTTCAGAAGGTTATTTACACACAGAAAAAATAGGGAAATCTTTAGATGAAATCTGTCAGGTTTAAGCATAGAACGACCCAGAGCACAGGCAGAGTTGAGGTGCAGAAAAACAAAGTCTTATTTAAACCAAAAATGCTGACGAGGCAGCTTCAAAATAACTCACAGAACATGGTGTGGCAAAAACATAAGACATGAAAAAAGAGACTGTGACACACAGCACAATGATTCGACAACATGAGACTGACAAGACACTGAATATAAACGTGAACTTAATGAGACAAGAAACACGGAGAAGACAAGAGGAAATAGGTGAGCATGGGCAGGGCAGTAGGGCAGATAACACACAGGGAAACACTGAAACACTAGGAAAACCAAGGCAGAGAAACACAGACCATGATAAAAATCCTTTTTCAAAAAACATCAGCCTCTGTGGCTCGACCAGTCCTTCTTTATCTCACCTCTAGCTATTCATAAATCACTGATTAAACTGGCCACTGCTCACTCGTGAGTTTTCAGAAATGAAGCGTGCACTACAGAACAAAAAAGAGGCATGGAGCAGAACAGCTGCTTTGTTATGGATCATTTACTGTGCACAATGTCTCTCTTGTGTCATTTATAATCATTAATATTCCTTTAGTAATAAAGCTGTTTTTTTGTTGTTTGAGCTCATGAGTGGATGCTTGCACACTAGTGTTGTCACTTTTTACATTTCTGAGCCACAGTTTTTTTTTTCAGGCCTCTGATTCTACCTTGCGTTGCAGCACACAGGCACCTCAGCCCCTTGTCACCTCAGTCCATTCAGAAGACACAATTTCTGTGTATTCACAATGTAGTGTTGTGTATTTCTGTTAGCCAGATGGCCTCACATTTGACTCCAGAGCCTTTTGTTCAAGAGAAATTCACAGTGGGCTCAACTGTTATGAAATGCCCTGGTCCTGTAGCTACATAACAAGCCCAAATTATGAACATTCCCCCACCATGCTTGACAGCTGATATACAGTGTTTGTGCTCATAAGCTATCATAAAGTTGATATATAAAGCTTTTAGTTTTAGAAAGTCTACAGTGACTCCTCAAAATTTTACCGAAACCAGCATAAACCTGAATTATTAAACAATAACAATATTTTGCACAAACTTTTATCAGAGACCCTGTTCTGATTTTTTTCCAATCCTGTTTGTGAAGTAAACATTTTGCAACTGAAGTAGCTATAACAGATATAGCTACGGTTGCCTGCAGACATGACTAATAAATTATACAAATACATTTGTGCTCTGCTTCTCATCATTTCAGATTAAGTTAAATGTGGTTCATGTTTCATTAAAATGTATTTCCTGGGAGAAAAGTTGTCAGGATTAGAATAAAACAACAATTTTACTTAAACACACATATATTTGTGAGTTTTTATATGTACACACCAATGGAAAAAAAAACCAAAAAGTGATGCAGGAAGCTCATTCTTGCAGACGCTTCAAGTCAAGGGACACATGTAGCTCGTCAGTGGCTTTTAGTAGCTTTGACCAACATGAATTATTGATTGAATAGCAAAACCACAAAAAGAGTTTTTGCAGTTTTTCTGTCCATATTATTACAAATATGTAAAGAAAATTAAAATGCAAGAAGTAAAACATGTTGATCAGATAATATTCTGTTATCCACTGTGTTAATTT